TGCTTTGATGTGTCAGAAAAGTCAAACTGTTCTTCCTGTTTGCGGGGGCTTCATTAGCCTCGTCAGTAGCCCTCCTTTAATGAGCCCCTCATCAATACTGCAGCCTGTGTGTGTGTGTGTCTGTGTGTGTTTGTGTGTGTGCGTGTTTGTGTGTTTCTGTGCGTGTGTTTCTGTGTGTGTGTGTGTGCTAATGTGTGTGTGTTAATGTGTGTGTGTCTGTGTGTGTGTTTGTGTGTGTGTTTGTCTGCGCGTGTGTGTGTGTGTGTTTGTCTGTGCGTGTATGTGTGTGTTAATGTGTGTGTGTGTGTGAGTGCGTGTGTGTGTGTGTGTGTGGATGTGTGTGTGTGTGTGTGAGTCTGTGCGTGTGTGTTGTGTGTTTGTCTGTGTGTGTGTTAATGTGTGTGTGTGTGTGCGTAGCGCGTATGTGTGTGTGTGTGTGCGTTTGGCGTTTTTGGTTCCCTCCTTCCTCAGCTCTTAATTATTCATCCTCTGGAGGCCCGTGTGTGCTTGTATCGTTTACCTAGCTGGAGGCTGGGAGCGGTGTGTGTGTGCACTCACACACACACACACACACACACAGACACGCACACACGCACACACACACACACAGACACACAGGTGCGCGCGGTGACCTGACTCTCTGTGTGCTTTCGTGGGTTGTCGCCCGGGTTGCTACCCACCTCCTGCCTGTGTTTACGGTCCCCGTCTCCCTGCGTTCGGGCCTTTTCCGCCCGTTTGCTATGGATGGGGGGGCCTGGCTGCCCCTCAGGATCCGATTCCTGCCCCGCTGGCACCATTCGGGCTCCTACCAGCTCTACCCAGGTGAGGAGGAAACCTGGGTCTTCGGTAGGGATGGGGATCGTTAATATTTATTGATATCGATACTTTTATCGATACTCCTTATCGACCCGAGTCTTTATCGATACCACTATCGATACTTTTCTGTTATTTGGTGGAAAGACGATGCGACAATATTTAGCAAATACATAATTGTATTTTAAATTCAATGTAATTTTTAATAAATGTTGGCATCAGTACTAATTATATATTCTAAAATAATTAAAACAATATACAACTGTATTACTCATGTTTCTCGCCAAAAACTCAATTTCCCTTTTCTTTATGTTACACTTGAACGCATCATGATAACCTAATTGTCGTTTTACTGAGCCAATCTCATCACGCAGCATGTCTGAAACTTTATTTACTTTTCAAGCTAACTAGCTTGTATGCTGTCGATTACAACACGGATTTCACAATTACTATTGTAATAATAAAAAACGACCAGACTCGATAGTGGTATCGATAATAAGCCCAAACGTTATTGATTTTCGGGTTTTGAAAAAAGTGGAACCGGGTCCTTGATAGAACCGGGTTTCGATCCCCATCCCTAGTCTTCGGGGGCTTCTTTTTCCGGGTTGGAGAGACGGAGATTGTGAGCAGGAAGGAGGAATAAAGTTTGTGTTTGACGTTACTTTAGTGGCTGAGTTTTAGAGGAGAAACCAGAACCAGCTATAGACGTCTTTTATGTTTTTCAACGCGAGTGACTTGGGGGATGATCTGCTAAAGCTTGTCCGTAAATATCGGCTTCTAGACAGAGTATGTAGTAACAAATTGACCCTCTAGGGGGCAGTGCCACTTTTGATGGGAGATGAGCATAGACTGTAGGCAAATAAGAAAAAGGGAACGGTTCTATGAGAGAACATGTCGCCGGTGAGACGCAAGTCGAGGAAGAACGGAATAAGGTAGAAACAATTTTTTTTCCTGATGAAAGAAGAGAGTCTACTCTTTCTTTTGGTGTGTTCGGTGTTTACATAGTCATAGCACAAACTATTCTGTGGCTCTTGAAAAATCCGTCAAAATGCTCAAAAAACTCTGGCAGTATGGGACTCTGTTCTGAAAATGGCTGGCAGTCAGTGAGTTAAGAATTGAATACTTGAGGACTGTCCTGGTGGGGAATGATTCAACTTCAGCATCTGCCTGCTAACAAACTGTCATCACTTTTTCATCCAGGCGTTTCCAAACAGAGCTGTTAACACACTCGTTTAGTATCATATTCATTTCACTTTGCCCACCTCACTTCCTGTTTGGGCTCTCTGTTGACTCAGAGTTGTAAAAGAGAGTAAATATTTGCTTTTGATTGACATCTGTTTTTTTAGACGGGCAGAACGACCAGATTTAAACGACGCGAGAACTAAACATCAGATCTGAATCAAAGCTTTCTAATCTGGAATGACGCATCTTTAAAAAAGCGAAAAACTTCTGACATCACTCTGATAGAGAAACAGCACGTTTCTATCAAGAATCCACAGAGTTACTAATGATTATCACAACAAAGACGTCAAACAGTGGGTCTGTTCTTAACTCTTTACACCTCCTGTTGACATCTGGAATAAGCCCCAAATCAACGAGACAGGAAATAAAAACAATAAATAGTTTTTAATCTGCCCTGTTCCAGTGAACGGCTGTATTTAATGTTGGCTCCATTAACAGAATGTGTTATTTCTGTGGCATAACCTTCATATTTCAGAGCCCTGGTGGAGATTAATCGTGTAGAATTAGCCCTTTAAAGCCTGATCCAAGAATAAAACAAAACAGAAAATTACTTTTTTTTTGGCTTTAAGTCTTTATTTTGCCTTTTAACATAATATGTAAAAAGAAAAAACAAAAATGAATTTTTTATAATAATTTATTACTATGCGATAAGTCCAGATTATTTGTTGTGTAGTCTTCTGCCCCCTGTTATCAGGTGTATCTGATTGTGTACAATAGGATTTTGAGCAAAGTTTTTACCATTAAATTATGCAAAAGGTGTCAGACGCAAAACATTTCAGAAACCGTATCTATCAAATACGATACATTTGGTATTATAGGGTTAAAATATAAACTTGGTTTTGCATAATATGTCCCCTTTAAATTCAGGAAAAATGCTCCTACTCTGCTTTGATTAGCATTCGTTTTTTGACGTTCCCTCTCGGATTGAGCAGACTTTGGTCTTCATTTCTCCACCCGTACTCTTAAAAACGAGCACTTCTATTCTCCGGACTTGTCTAGAATCGTTCGTCAGTTGTTGTTTTTTATCATTTAACTTTTTATTAGTTTTTTCCATTTTTGCTTACATATACAATATACATGAACACTTTACAATCAACATAACATAACAAAACTTTGGCTTGGGAGCTGTTCCTCTATTTGACCTTAGTTCCATCTAGTTTGTCTAGTTCTTTATTTCTTGTCGCTGACTTTTGTCTTGAATATTGTCCATTTCTTCCACTTCTCTTCGTTCGTCAGTTTTTAACATCCCTCATAATGGCTGGGTTAGCAAACCGACTGGTGGCTGTCCGAGTGTGCAGGAATGCCATTGATAACATAAAACACAAGTTAAAAAAAACATGAATTTCTCCATTGATAGTGGCGTTTCTAACTTTAGCGTCCCCCTGGCTGCGGGCGGATGCTGATCTTTCATTTCTTTCACAGCATTTGCGTCGTCCCGGGCACCTGACCGGCGATATCCCCCCTCCGGCTGTTTTAGCCCTCGGTTTTTATCTCAGCTCAGCACTTGTTTGGTTTCTCTGGCCCCCTATCCTCCCCCTATCCTCCCCCTATCCTCCCCCTATCCTCCCCCCCATCCTCCTGATCCCAGTGATGCTCTGTGGTCCAGTGGTTGGACAAATGAGCAATTCCTAGACACACAGAGACAGTCCCTGGAAAGAAGAAAAAGGATTGTTTGATCCGTAAAAGCGAAGTGTGAAAGAGGCCCTTTAACTTAACAGTAAAGCTGATTTACTGTTAAGTTTAAAAACAGAAATGAAGAGAAGCAACAGGGACATCCTGTAAACTCGGCGACCACAAGTTACTTTGGTTTAGTTCTAATCATTTGTGGATGAAATCATTTTCTTTTATTGGTTTACTTTGGAAGATGATTGGTGTCATGTCTCATAACCTCTTTATTAAAGTAAATTTCTCTGATGTGATGAGTAACAATAAATACAGCTTAGGCTTGCCGATATTTGCAAAAAACTGCGTATCAGCAGGAGAAAATGCAGATCCAGACTCCAGATCCAGTTTTTTATTTTATTTATTTTATTTTTTTTTTATTATTTTTTTTATTTTAAGTCCGATCCCACATTAGCATTAGCAATAGCATTAGCATCTCCTGACCCACAGGTCTATGTCCTAACCATTAAGTTGTTATCAGAGTAAATCCCTGTTCAACATGAGTCTGACAACTAAGTAAGTAGATAAATAACTTTAAACTTTAACACATGCTCTGATAGGCCGGGATCGGGACATCCCAGAGCTTGTCTTTCTGAATATGTTCCTTAATTTATTTAAATTTATTTTACCGAACATCAAGCTGTTGGAAAAATGTGAGGAGAAATGGGAGTATTTTT